TGAAAATACGTCAGTAATTTTACATTTAGAGGCTGAAAATACGTCAGTATTTGTACGTTTAGAGGCTGAAAATACGTCAGTATTGTACGTTTACATGCTGAAAATACGTCAGTATTGTACGTTTAGAGGCAGAAAATGCGTCAGTATTTGTACGTTTAGAGGCTGAAAATACGTCAGTATTGTACGTTTAGAGGCTGAAAATACGTCAGTATTTGTACGTTTAGAGGCTGAAAATAAGTCAGTATTTGTACGTTTAGAGGCTGAAAATACATCGGTATTTGTACGTTTAGAGGCTGAAGTGAAAATACGTAAGTATTTGTACGGTTAGAGGCTGAAAATACGTCAGTATTGTACGTTTAAATGCTGAAAATACGTCAGTTATTGTACGTTTAGAGGCTGAAAATACGTCAGTATTGTACGTTTAGAGGCTGAAAATACGTCAGTATTTGTACGTTTTGAGGCTGAAAATACGTCAGTATTGTACGTGTAGAGGCTGAAAATATGTCAGTATTGTACGTTTAGAGGCTGAAAATACGTCAGTTTTGTACGTTTAGAGGCTGAAAATACGTCAGTATTGTACGTTTTAGTGCCTGTAAAAACGTAAGTAAATGTACGTTTTATAGTACCACATTTTACGTAAAATACATACAAATGATGAGATCACGTTGATCTATCTATCTATCTATCTATATATATATATAATTTTATAAAATTTGCTTATTTCCATTAAGATGCAATTGAGTGTCTTAAAACGTTACATTCAGTTCACACTTATTAATTTGCAAATTTGAAGTATGCCAAAGTATACTTATTTTTTTACAAGCGCAATTAGTGCATTTATACAGTTAGCTATACACAGTTGTGGACCAAACTGAAACAACATGCAACATTTTCAACCAAATCTTTGTAAGCCAGCTTATAGTGAGTGTTAGAGTCTCACTGACAAGCTTTAGAGAGTGAAAAAGCTACAGGTGCATCTTACTCAAAGAAAACAACGACTTTTAGCACTTTGGAGAGACGCTGATAGAACCTACACCATGGGGTCACTCAGCATTACTGTATTTCTGGAGCTGTGTTACTTATTACATGGACACAGTTTCATCCTGCTGAGAGCTCAAGCTCTATTCTATAGATGGAAAGGACACTGTGAAACTTGGCATTTTAAAACAATACTTGACGAGATGGCTTAGACTCATGGCTCAGAACAACGCCTTTATAAAGTTTTAATCATTGGCCCAGATATTTTATATTGTTTCTTTGTTTTTCACCTTGAGAGTATATTAAAATTTATATGGGAATTGTCTTGTTGTAATAGTTTGAGTTCACCCAGTTGTTCAATATCTTTAATTCAGAGAGAGATGCAGACATTCACAAGTATTGGGATAAGTCCAATAACTCAATTAGTTTATATGCAGGCCTAGTCCAGATCCGTGACCTTGAAGAAACTCTTTAAATTCTGCATCATAAACTAAAAGGAAATGGACTCAGGCTTTTACCTTCTTTCCTCATGCCGGCTCTGAAGCACTTTCGAAGTCTGCAGTATCGACATTGGTTTCTTTTGTCTTTGTCCACCACACACTGCCTGCTGAACCTTCACACACAGAGACAGAAGTACATAGGCGACTACAATTCTCACATTTGAAGAGATCCAATGAAACACTTCAGGTCATGCTCTTACGCGTTCTGATGAAGGTGGTCACAGATCACAGATTATTTTTTTATAGGACACAGACATTGTGATCATTTATAGATGGGCTCCAGCCACAAAGACAATATATCAGTCAACTCCTGTGGAAATGTGAAATAACATTTCTGCTGTATAAGCTGGGCTGTGATGTTGTACAGGATTGTATAGCCTATATAGAATACAAATGTATATTGTCTGCATTTGAAACACTAATTATTAATGTCATGAAATATTATAAAATTCATATTAAATATAAAAATGCTAACTGTATTTTGTAAATTATATTTAGTGTATGATACACTTTTTTTATTTAATTTTCTTTTCTTTCTAAAGTTATTTTAGTATTATTTATATACTGTCATATTTTTTTTTTATAAACGTTTTGAATTAGCTTTTATTTTTATATTTTCAGCTATTATCTTAATTTTCTTTTTCTTTTTTAGTAATTGTGTTAGGCCTATGTGCTTTTCTCATTTCTATTAGTTTTTTATTTTATTTTTCCAGTGTTGGTTTTTATTTATTTCCAGTTTGTAATTTTAGCCTTTCATCTTTTATTTCAGTTAGTCACCATTTCTACTAATTTTGTGTTTTAATTTAATGTTTCATGTTTTGTGTTTCTTCTGATACTTCTACTTTACGCTATTTCAGCTTTATTTAAATTAACACACATATTTTAGTTAATGATAATAACCCTGGTATCTTGTATTTTCAATCCTATGTTTCATTGTCACCATTTATGGGATCCTACACTGGCTTTCATTGTGCTTTCAGTGAGCATTAATTAACAAGCAGTGTCTGAAAAGTCATTTGTCTCTAACGTGAACTTTAAAACCCTACTACATTGCTTACTGCATGCTTTGAATAACAACAGTCCATAGAGGCCATACTAGCATGTTTAGAGATGAATTAAAAGTGATTTAATTAAGCACATATAGTGGATAGTTGTGAATCTGATGGTGAGTTCTCACCTGCATGTGTAGGCATGGTTCTTGCGTACACTCCTCCTGAAGAAACCCTTGCAGCCATCGCAGCTGGATGCACCGTAGTGTTTCCCTGTAGCTCTGTCTGCGCAGATAGCACAGAGATTCATGCTGCTTTGCTGCGGCGCAGCCACTGGTACTGATGTAGGCACATGTCCTGGAATTAGTGGCTCTTCATTGGAAAAATAATGGACAAAACAGAATTTGACATCTGTAGCATCAAATTGACAACATAGATACTACCGTTTTTTAAATACTTTTGACAGAAGTCTCTTATGCTCACCAAGGTTGAATTTATTTGATTAAAAAATCAGTAAAAACAGTAATATTGTGAAATATCATTACAATTTAAAATAACTGTTTTCTATTTTAATATATTTTAAAATGTAATTTATTCCTGTGATGCAAAGCTGAATTTTCAGCAACATTACTCCAGTCTTCAGTGTCACATGATCCTTCAGAAATCATTCTAATATGCTGATTTGCTGCACAGAAAACATTTCTTATTATCATCACAGCAGAAAACAGTTGTGCTGCTTAATATTTTTGAGGAAATGGTGATACATTTTGTTTTCAGGTTTCATTCTTACATATACCTATACATATACATATACATACATATACATATACATATACATATAAATATTAGGGCTGTCAGTAGATTACAATTTTTAATCGAATTAATTACATGTTGTAATCTAATTAATCGCAAAATAAATTTGACTGTGAAAATACTCACAAAAGATTACTTAAAGCTATTTTTGTGTTAAATGAGAAAGTATCAATTAGACATTACAAATTGTAGCTTTACAAAGAAATATTTCATTTGATTCAACATAAAATTGATTACACATAAACATTTAGGCTACAACTTATGAGTCATTCATTCATTCGATTCAAACAGCTGATTCATTCAGGATTGAAGTAAATGGAGATAGTTGGATCCAGATCCAACTCCTCCCACCTTACATATACCTGAAACCTACCCGTCTCCACCCCCTGATTCCTAAACCCACCCATCTCCACCCCTAACCCTACCCATCTCCCAGAGCTCCACCCCTAAACCTACCCATCTCCCAGAGCTCCACCCCTAAACCTACCC